AATTCTCACAGCACCTTCTGGATTGGCTCCCAATGGACTGGGCAGTTGGGGGGGGGGTCTGAACAAAGGAGATTTAACCTAACCATTTTTTTGCATGGGAATTTTAGATCCTGCTTGTCTTCTCTGCAATAACTCTCAATAAAAGTTCCTCTTGAAATGCTGCCTGTTTCAAGAGCTCAACTTCCTTGAGGGAATAGCTGAGGCGAGACCTTACATTGCCTTTCTGGGATTAAAAGGCAATATATATATATATATATATATCTCCCAAGATGTACTGCCTCTGTGGTGCCGCAAGAGGGAGAAGCATGGATGCGACTCTTGCTGCCTCCTTTAAGAGATAAACAACATCCCACACACCCTGCCTTCTTTCGCGTTGGCAGGCATGGGGGGGGGGATGACTTTGCTTTGAGCAGAAGCAGAGAAAAAGTGTGGGGGGAGGATTACCAACCCCCAAGATGCCTATGCAGCCCAGGCGGATGTCCTGGACCCGAAGGAGACTCAAAGCAAGCCACCCAGCCCAGGAAAGTCAGCTGTGCCCCTGCCGCCCCTTGTGCGGGAATGCCCCACATCCCAGGGCCTGGAGTGTGCCCCCCCAAATAGGGGGGATGGTGTGCAGAGGTCAGTTAAGAGCCCCACCAGGGCAGAGTCAGCCAGGAAGAAGACCTGCCAGGCAGCTACAGGCTTCTCTTCAGCAAATCAGGATTTGTGCTGTATTATTGTGCTGTCCAACTGCAGCTGAATCGCAGCTCAGGAGGACCGACAATGTCCAGCTCTGGGCCTCCCTGATTCCACCCCCCCCACCCTCTCCGACTCCCTTATCCAAATGGGGGAGGGCAGGTGCCTCTCCCTTCCCTCAGCTAAGCAGACAGCCAAGTGCTGAGCACCTCCCTCTGCTAGAGAAAGGCCTCTTCAGACCGGCCAGCAACGGCTCTTCTGGCAGGCTTGGATGCCCTCTTAGAGGAAGGTGGAAAGCCTGGTGAATGCCCTCCAATGCTGCCAGCTGCACCCAACGGGGCCAGACCCAGGGCCCTTCCCCTGCGGTCACAAGTGGCCAGAGGGCAGCAGCTCCTCAGCTGGATGTGCTGCAGCCTCTCTGGAGCTGCCCAAAAGCAGAGTGGCTGGACTCCAGCCAAGGCCAGGGCCCCTTTGCCCTGATAGTGGAAAGTCTGGGGTGGAAGGGAGATACGGCTCCATGGTAATTCAGGACCCGGCCCCTAGTAGGCAGCACAGAGCAGTGCCAGCGGGGGGGGCTCCTTTCTAAAGGGGAGGACAGTCTCTTTTCCCTCCAACATCCCTGCAGAGCGGGCAGGTAGGACAGGGGATGTTCACATCCTGCTGGGCACAGAAGGGGATCCTACCAGCCCCCCCCACACTCCAGGGAGAAGAATCCCACCCTCAGCCTGGAATCCCCACTGAGCCCAGGCCCCCCACTGGGGACTCCGAGGACAAAGCCACAAAGACCCCCGCCGAGTAAGCTCTCTTTATTGTGCCTCCCATGCGCAGCAGGAAGCAGGGCGGAGAAGGCCGCCTCAAGCCTTCTTGTCGTCTTTCTGCAGGAACCTCCGGGGTCCTGGGGGGGGAAGAGGCAGAGCCCTTGAGCCGGAGGAGGTGGGCAGGGCCTGACAGGCCTGGCCCTGCAGAGCCCCGCTCTTCGGCAGCAAGGGGGGCGGGGGGCACTTTTCGGGAAGCCCACCGCCGCTGACCCAACACGGGCACTCTTACTCGGCTGTGTGTGCTCAGCGCTCGCAGAAGACCAGCGATTTCGCAGAGGCGTCCGCCCCTCGGGCGAGGATCCTGCCGCTCCCCGTCGAGAGCGGTGGGGGGAGGCGGTGCAAGCGGGGCTTTATAAGGGGCGTCCCGCCTGGGATTGGAGACCACCATGGCGATGGGCCTGGCAGCTCTGGGGCTCCTCGCTTTCCTACTCGGCTGCCCCGGAAAGTTTGCCGAACCCCAAAACTCGGAGCCAGCCGCCAAGGTCAGATGCGGGGTGGCAGACGGAGGGTCCCAGCCTGCCCCGGGAAAACCCCTCCCCGCCACCAGCCTCTGCTCGGATGGGCGGCAGGAGCAGCTGGTGGGAGCCGGCGGGCTGCGCAGAGGGTGTCGCTTCCTCGGGGTCTATCGCACCGGGTGCCCTCGCGCTTAGCGCCAGAGGCCCTGGGTCCCCGACGGACGGACGCCCAGCGTTTCCTCCTCCGTGCTCTGCGGGGCTGGTGCTCTCGCTCGCTGCGCATATGGAAGAGCGATCCACCCGCGGGGTGTCGTCCCGGATGCGGTCTGGCAGGCGCCTCGACCGACGGATTTTGGGATGGGCCGCCTTTGCCAGCCCCACGCGGCGTGGGCAGCCTTGGGGGTCGGGCACGTGGGAGCAGCGGGTGTTTTCAGATCCTCCGGAGAAAATGGAGCCAGAGTCTCTACCTGTTGGACAGCTGGGCTTGGCAAGCGCCCTGACTCGCTTTCCTCCCCTCTCCCGCTCTCCTTTAGTCCTCCCTGATCATCACCTGGAAGAATGATCTCAACTCCCCCATGGAGACCAACAGCGTCAGTAACGCGGGGGTGTCCAGCGGCGTCTAGAAAACGGCAGTCTCGGCCTCCGACAATCCCATCCGGCCATCCCTGCTGCAGGTCATCCAGCACCAGGGTCCCCGGCCGGTCTTTGGCCTCACCATCATCTGAAACCTCTCTGGTAGAGCCACTCACTATTTGGTGTGGAAGCAAATAGAACGGGAGGGGGGAATCTAGTGGATCTCCCCTTCCTTAGATCTGCTTCTTTCACTGTATGTCCCACCCCCTTGCCCCCATTAGCTGGGGTTGGCAAAATTTTGGAGCCCATTAAACGTTCCCAACCTAAAGTAGCATCGGTGACTGGGGGTCTTTATAAGAAATATATCCCGCCCCTAATTGGTACAACTTTGAC